GTGTAATTGACATGGAAAGCATTGAAGTTTTGTTTCTTTTTAATTTGTCTTTTATACTTGTGCAAATCCTTGCCGCACGCAAGATAATGTATTACATTAGGACGAATTAGGAGTCAAACGATAGAAAAAAAGCAGCGAATTTTATGGCTTTATGAAGAAAGTTCCTACTAAGTAATCTGCTATAATGAAATTCCCCTAATGAAATTACACGAGTTATAGAAAGTCTGATTTGCCACTTTTATCTAAAGGGGGTCAAACAGATCTATTTTTATTTTTTCATGAAGGTAACTCTGATGGATATTTTAATTCAGGACCAAAAAGAAACCGTACCGCAAAAGAAACAATGAGGAAACTGATAAAATGACCTGTTTTAAAAAATTAAATAAAAACACAGTAGCAATTCTAAATAGTTCATCTAATTCGTGGAACTCCTCGCAAGCAATTGGGTTAGCAAGGAAAATGTCGAATCGAGATCTGATCGTCGACAACAGTGCAAGGAAATAAGTAAACGAGAGATACAATTCGGTAGACTTTGTATTGGCGAAAAGGTTGAATAATTAAATAAGTAAAATTAATTAGAAGCAGTTGTTTCTAAGACTATTATTAAAGTGAAAGTTTACTTTCTAATACTGCATTATTTGTCGACGCGATCTGTTGGCCAAATCGTGCAGCAACGCTATTTTCTGCACGCTACGGATCATTGGGCCTATCTTTCTACTTAACTACCGATGGAGTATTGCCAGGGTTCCTACAACCTACATTTTACCCACTGCGAAAAGCTACTTTTGTATGAGGGGACCGGATATTAATGGCATCGCCGAGATGAATTACAGGGCACAGGTAAAACTGGCATAAAATCGGTCTAGTTTTGTAGTAACTCCGGGTTTGAATTCAGCAGGAATCGTTTCTTATGACGAATCAGTCTTTCTCACTAACCCACATTCGGCCCCACAGAAAAATATAGCGAAACAATCATACAGCCCTTTCTTCCGCAAACCTGCTTTTATCCATGTAATAGCTAAGTACTGCCGTGATATTTTTAAGTTTCTCTCTCTAATGCAAATTAATACACCGCCACAAGGCAAATTAATCTATACTTTTGTCACAAACGTTATTATAACCCAATGTATCAAGACTAAATTTTGGACAAAATTAGGCAACTCTTCAAAGCTGACCAACTTATTAACTATGAGAGTATTCATGTATTTTGAGACAAAAAATACCCACTTATTTTAAAAGTGAAGCATTCATTAGTTCATTTTTTTTCACCTCCAATAAATGTCTCTTCCTAAAAGCAATATATTATAACTAGTTTTGCCGCAAATCTTTGCATGACGAAAATAAACAATGTATTTAATAATATGTAGGCATGCCACTTTTCATCATAATTTCATGATCAAAATAATACATATACTAACTAATAAATTTTATCCTAAAAAATATGCGCTTAAAATCAAATTCTCTGCCTCTTTTATTTTGCGGTGGTTCTTAGAGTATGAATGAATACAAAACTTCTATTGATAATCTTGAGGCTCAGGCTTGGCTAATGCGATGTTTTCATTATTTTTGACGCAATCGTTATTCAGCAATTGAATTTAATCACGGGTAATGCCTTAGGGCCTGTTTACATGGAGTGGGGGGCCCCGGTCTAGTGGGGTTGGTTTCTTTTGTTTTCACGCTCTGGGGGACACAAAACAAAAGAATCTTACCCCACTAGACCGGGGTCCCCCACTCCATGTAAACAGGGTCTTATAAATGGCTCTCTCATAACTGACTAGATGAAAAAATAAACCTTGAGAGCATTTCTTTTCGCCCGTTGAAGAATTAGCACAAGAGATAAAGGTCTGGTTTTGAGCCGTAAATCTTTCCGTGATGCCCATATTTTTATCAAGATGGCCAACATCACTGGCTAGAATAAAAAAAAACAAAGTTAAAAAAAAATAAAATAAAGCAGCTATATATCTCAGTTCTCTTTATTCATATATATATAGTCGGCCGGGGAATAGATCAATCACTTGAATTAGAATCGATTTTATCATATTGGACGCTCACACTCAAAAGTTGAAATTTAAATGTAATGGCGTGAAAGGCTTCATCCTGTTTCCACTTCATCTTACGGTAGTGGCAGTAGTACTTGCGTAAGCTTTAAATTTCCTTCCGTACAACTAAAGAATAAGTAGCTATTAGTTTGTAGCTATTTAAATATGTAAGGCTTGTGTCAGCATAATCCAGGAATCAAGTTTGATGGTACTGTACATTTTCGTTCTCTAAAGGTGTTTTACCAAGTTAAAACTTGTTTTGCGGTAGACGGATATTTGTTTACATGCTAAATTTAAAATGGCGGGAAATTTTAATCAATTAATTTTTATACGGGCACGCAACAGCCACAAATATACAAAACTTCTGAATCTTTTTCGTTTGTGAATACTTCTATACCTAAGAATAATATATTTTTCTGGTTAACTTCAGTATTTCTGTTTATAATGCTAAGGATAGGCTTAACTAACATTCCATTGTTACTTTAAGTTCAGTTTTTTCACTTTGAAAGATGCCTTCCACCTTCAAACAACTTGGTTCGTTTAGTTACAAATCATATTTACTTTGTTACATTCATACTGTGATGAGCCAATTTTTGAACGTAGCAAAAACCCTTTTGGGGGGGGGGGGAGTGCGGTCGAAAGAGGAGAACGTCTACTGAACCATTGTTGCTACTCGGACAGGAACATTCTCCGCAGGAAAGGAACTTCGTTTTCATACACAGTGTTCTCTCTAAGGCCAGGCGATCCTGCGAATGCAGACCCCTCTCGTCACTCCCTTGTAAAATTAGCAAAAGTCATCCTCGTGAGATTCACCGCAAAAAAGCCTTATAGCGAGTGGAGAATTTAACAAGAGCTCCGCTTTTAGGCTTGGCTACTACCATTCTGTCACCATAAAATCAAAAAGGACCATCAAGTGATGCTGCTTATTATTACAGTAATTACAGCAGCTGGCAAAACTTGGTCTACTGTCATGTTTTCTCTGGTGAGATTTTCGTTAGTACTGGTTAAAGAATTTAAACCAGGGAACCAGTGTTGTTGGTCCATCGTGGGACAAGTGGGCATGAAGAACTTTGACAATATACCGCAAACAGCCACGGACCTTTAGTTGGAACTGTTCCCGAAATATCGACAGGTTTATAACTTTATACTTTAATGGCAGCTGATCAAAAAGAGATGGGTCGCATTAAAATCGATGGATGAATACAACTTACAGTCAAAAATTGACTAAGAATATCGTTGTTACCTGAAGCAAAACTTCGCCGAAAAATTTTAACTTACAAATAAGTACCCCTTTTTTAACTTGCAAAAATAAAGGTAATATCTTAAAGCTTCTGTAAGCCAAATCGAAAAGCATTTAGGATTTGAATATATTTAAGTCAGTCTAATGTATGGCTGTAAATGATCAGTAAAATATTTCACCATAACATGAAACTAGTTAAAAGATTACTTTATTCTAAAGTTGCAGCAAAGCAAATCAGTTCTCAAAAGGACGCATGCATGTTTTAGTTGAAAAGAAAGAAATTATAACAAAGTACTAGAACAAATTAAAATTACCTTTTAAAGTACAAGGTATTCTGAAATAAAAAATTATTTCGAGGATATCTGCTGCAAAATAAAAGGTAAGACAAAATTTTTGTATAAAGCGTATGTTGTTGAACTCCGTAGAATACATTAAGCTGGTAATTCGTATCAAGATATGTTTTGTTACGTTGTAGTTACTTTAATTTGCTCATCAATTCTTAAACAACGATTCTTTTGTTCTAAGTGACACCTGCTTTGACTAAGCCAATGCCTACCAAATATATATTCCTTTGATCTCAACAAAGATTAGCTAAGATTTACCCAGTCAAACTACAAATGGTAAAAAAAGAACATATTGATTTAAAAGTAATTCGGTAAGCGATTGATACATTTTGTTGCCGTTAGTCATCATTAATTACAGCCTCTGAGGAAGAGGTTTTGTCTGGGTTGGGTGGGAGGGGAGGCAAAATTATACCCGTAACATTTCCCTTAAATCTTCCTGAATGTAACTAAAATTTTTAAGGAAAAATACACTGGCCTAAGTTATTCTGGAAAACATACCCAGGCGCATGCTCGATCGATGTTTCAGGCTGATCCTGAGTACCCTGAGCTCAGGGGTTTCATGCGTCCATGTAGTCCTTTTTTGAACTTCCTGGCTCGACTTTTTAAATTCAGCACGACTGTAGAACGACTTGGTTTCAGACCTCAAATTTAAGTTAGTCGAATAAAGTAGCTTTTGCCGAAAGCATAAATTAAAAAAGAAAGCGGTTTAATGAACTTTAAACCGCTTTCTAATGTATTTATAATTTATTATGAATTGAGTTACGCACGGCAGAAGCACGACGTTTGAAAAGTGCAGGCATTCCTACAGCTTTCCGTCTCCTAACTCACCTAATAACTTGAGAAGACTTTAAGAGTCAACAGATACATTGTTTTAAGTCAGTGGGGTTGCACGGCTTGCGTTCTTGTTTTAAAAACAAAGTTTCTTATTTCTTCTTGTCTACAGCAGTAAATCAACGGATTTAATAAGGAATTTAACATGGCAAATGTGCGGACCCATAGCGAGGAAATAATTTCTGGTCGTTTCATCAGGTGAATAACAAGTCGTAATGCCATGGGCAGAAAACGCAGCATTAAAGCACAGACTACATATACAGTTGTCTTGAGCGCTTTGTTTTCGTTACGAAATCTTTCTGCTTCTCCTTGTGGCATCTGATGGATTTTGATCAACTTTCGATGGCGTCGTGTTTCAACATACAAAACAGCATAACCAGAAGCTACAAAAACGATACAAGAACTTACGACGAAAAGATTAAAGGCCAAGGCCTGGCGTTCTTCTATCACTTTGATCAATCTGAGTGCATCGCAAATAGAGAAAGGATCCAAGAACAGACCACAGCTGCCCTAATAGTTTCTTTAGTAACAAAATGTCGGTAGTGCATGGTAAATTTGATCGCCACAAGTCTCTCGGCAGTTACTAACATGAGATGTAGGCAAGAACACATAGAGAGGACTCGCAATGCGGTACTGTAGGTCAGTCGAGCTGGAATGTAGTTTATCGCTCCAGTCATTTCAAATGTGTTCCAGAAAATAAACGCTGGCTGAGTTATGAGACCAGTTAAGGCGTCAGTTGCTGCTAGACAGGCAAGCAAGATGTTGCTGTTGGTCTGAAGTCTTGTTCTTCTTTTTACAGCCATTATCACCATCACATTAAGGAGAACTGTGAAGGGACAAGCCATGATGTTAATTATTAAATTGATCACAACAGTCGACGAATCTTGGACGTTTTCTGTCGTTTTTTCTACGCTGTTTTTTGCGAGCTCGTGAGTAATGTTTGTCAAATCTAAACTAGCATTTTTGTCCATATTGTGAAGAACTATATCCCACAGCCACTTGTATACGTTGCGCTAAAAAAAAAAGTTAACTGGCTATATAGGAATTGCTTCTCAGGTGTCCGACATCCTATATGTCAGCTGTTTACATGGCGAAATCATTACATGAAATTTATCTTAATGGTTTGATAAACGTCGCCTGGAAACTCGCACGATAATACTGTAATTAATATGTAAAGTAGCTCTTAACTTGGTAAAGCTTTAAAGTAAAGAGAGACTGAATTCAATTACGGTTGTCTTTTGTATTCACCATTTTCACATGGACCATAATGCACCTTGTTTGCCTCCAACAATTTCTCATAACCATTGTCTTCGATTTCTCTTGAGGCGAGAGTAATACACGTTGTACCCAGGCAAGAGAGCTAGATGACCCGGCCCCAGGAGAAATGGAAATCAGTTGTTATAGAAAAAAAAAATATTTAAAATTATTGGAGCGAGGTTTGTATCTTGCTGAAAATTAGCGCACCTTAATATATATCGTTCATTTGCCTGCCTCAAGAAATTAGAATGTTAGTGCATTTTCGTGGTTTCACTGTTTTCTTCTTTAACGCGCATCTTCAGTCTGAATGTCACTCAATGTGCGGATTCACAGCCTGCGTTTTCGTTTTAAAAACAAACTTCCTTATTTCTTTCTGTCTCCAGCAATACACCAACGGATTTAAAAGTGAATTTAATAATACAACCGTCCGGATCCATTCCGGGGCAATAATTGATGTTCGTTTGTCTAGCAAATTAGCAATCTGCAACGTCAAAGGGAGATAGCACACCGCCACTGCACCAACTACGTATACAGTTGTTTTCAGCGCTTTGCTCTCTTTAAGGAATCTTTGTACTTCCTCTTGCGGCATCTGCTGGCCTTTGATCAACTTTTGATGGCGCCTTGTTTCAAGATACAAAACAGCATATACAGACACAACAAATATCATACAAGAGCTTACGACGAAAAGAAGGAAAGCGGGTACAGCGCGGAGGCTCTGAATTTTTGGCACTCCCATAAACTTGAAAATAACCGGTGTCAGAGAAAAGATCCAACACGAAATCACTGCAACCTTGATGGTTTTCTTAGTAACAATAAATGGGTAGCGCATGGTAAATTTGATCGCTACAAGTCTCTCGCCGGTCACTAACATAAGATGCAGGCATGAGCATGCAGAAAGGGCTTGCATTGCTGAGACGTAGATCAAGCGCGAAGCTCTAATATGGTCTTCCCCACCAGTCAACCCGAGTGTTTTCCACAGAATAAACGCTGGCTGCGTTATGAGACCAGTTAAGGCATCAGTTGCTGCTAGACAGGCAAGCAAGATGTTGCTGTTGGTCTGAAGCCTTCGTCTTCTTTTTACAGCCATTATAACCATCACATTAAAAAGGACCATGAATGGACAAGTAATGAAACTTATTATTAAGGTGACTACATCAGTTGGCGCAACTTGGTAGTTTGGTTTCACGTTTCCTTCGGTGATGTTTCGAAGTTTGGTAGCCGTATTGGTAGTAGAATTTAAACCACTGATGCTTTCCATCTTGGGACAAGTGGGCAGTGAAGAACTATAGCGCGACAGTAACCTTTATCTGCCAATAGCTTTTGAGTCTGGCTCAGTCTAGGAATTGCTTTCCAGGTATAAGGGTTTATGTTTTAGACCTTTGGCAACTGTTCAAAAGAACTTGAATAGCTTTACGATTTGGCACCTGCATATGAGTTAAATAAAATTGACTGAGAATACCATACGGTTTTTATCTAGAGTTCACACGCAAAACAAAAGAGATACCGTAATAAAAAAAAAAGTAATATATACCTACGGATAACGACTCTTTTTAACCTCAAATTAAAGCCAATTCTTTAAAACGTCAGTCGGCGAAAAAGAAAAACAGAAATTAAATGCATGAAGCCGAAATCTATTGTATACTTTTCTTGTCGCAAAATCAGTAAAATGTTTCACAATTGTAGCGCATTATGAGCTTAACATTAAAAGTAGATAAAGCAAGCCAATTCGAAGAGAAAGCATGTTTGAAGAAAAGAGGAATTATTAAACGGCATTTTCGAATCGCCGCAGCTGGAATAAAGTTTGAATTTCAGTGACACTAAAAAGTCGTACATGAATATCTACCGACAAACAAAACGCAAGACAAAAATAATCTATGTTGATAAGCGTATGTTGTTTAACCTTCCTTAGTGGAATTTATAAAGTCTAGGTAGTTCGAATCAACAAATGGTTTTCAATTCATTTGCACCAAATTTAAGGCTACCTTCATACGACAACGGATGAATTTGCAACCGGCTGAAAAATTTGACCGGCCACTTCTTCCACACAGGACCGTTCAATAGGGAGCTAAAGCAACGACGACTGCGACGGCAACGAGAACGGCAAAGAGGTTTAGACTGGCAAAACAACAAATCTGCACGTGCATCACGCTTTCCTATACATTTCTTTGCTGTCACTGCACGACTACAACGTGAAAATACCTCATTTCACGTTTTATAGTGGACGTGACGTGGACTTCCTATTTCTTTTCCTGAACCGCGAAACAGTCTTTTAGAATTCAACTCCAGCATGTGATAAATTGAACGAGATGGAATAAGCGCGATTAAGTTTGAGGCAGCGCGAATTCACTTTTTAAGCAAAGTTGTCGTAGCCGTCGCCATCGTTGTTGCTTAAGTCTTCAATTTTCACACGGTTGAGGCACCGTCGTTCCGTGTGAACAGGGCACTTAAACGCACGAATTTTCAACCGTTCTAAACATTCTTCCTGTACCGTGTTAACTTAGTCTAACTCTCTCATCACTGTTTGATCCTCAGGTCTTTTTTCCATGCAGGTGACACCTGTTTAGACCAAGGCAAACTTAAGTGATGTGAGAAAATAAAACTTTTTCACCCCAGCAAAACCAACAAAGCATAGGCAGGAACCCATAACCTGGAGCGAGGAACACCCATGTACTCGTGTCAAGGCGTTTTCATGACCAGTTTATTTTTTAGAACGGTTTTGGCGCGAATTTAGAATATCTTTTAAGTCCCACAAACCAGTCAGCAAAAGCTACAGGCCTAAAAATGATATCTTTTGCCTTTTAATGAGGCTAAGTTTTCCTTTTTGATATCTTATACTTCGAATGCATTCATAGACGTGGCGGACATTCCATTTTCTCGGGAAAAGTGTCTTATATGTGTCCAAAAATAAACCGGTGCGTAAAAACGCCTAGGCAAAGGATAACTCCTTTTGGGGGGTTGCTTTAACTCCTGAATATGAACTCCAAATCTCTATACTCCTTTTTGGAGTTAAAATAACTCCGAAAAAAATAACTCCACTATAAGGAGTTAAATTAACCCCACTAGAGGAGTTATTATAACTTGAAAATTACAGTGCAAAATCAATGAAACGGCGGCCATGCTGATGTCACAAACCAGTCCTCGTTTCTCTTGTTTGGGTTTTCTGTTTGTCGTAACAAATTTGCCTGGCTACTGGCCTGGCCAAGTAAGTGAAAACACTCTTAACCCACCATCGAGGTTCAAGTAGGTCGAGACAAAATATTATGCGCCCCCTTTTCAAGTCAACCAAAGAAACAAGCACGCAGTTTTTCAACAATCTCTATCATACTTTATTGTTAAGAAATACATCAATTAAAATACGACCAAAAATACAATTATTACACCATAACCGGACAAGTGAACCCCGAAAACCAATTTAATTTGGTAAAATGGGGACTATGGACCCTCTCCCCCCCCCCTTTCCCCCCTTACCAAAGCTTTTGTGACTCCTTTGGGGTTTTTAAGCATTCTAATTTTTATTAAAAAAAGAAAAAAAGTATGGTAAAAAAATAAATAATTTTGATAATGTTAAAAAAAAAAAAAAAAAAAAAAAAAAAAAAATATAAAAAAGGTATGGTAACAAAATGAATATTTTAGCTAGGGTGAAAAAAAAAAAAAACGAAGAAAAAATTACTCGCGGAGTAAATAGATGGCGAGGCTGGCGCCAGAATCGAGCGATTTGAATATTGCTCGAGCAATGATATCAAAACGCTTTCGCTCTTAATATCTAAACATAACTTTTAAAAATTAAAAATTAATTTTTAATGAATTATATTTATTGGATCAATGTAAAGGGTGAAAGCTATGATCTCCTGTCCTTCACTTAGCAGATAGATATAGGCGCTATTAATTTTTTTTTGCAGACAAATTCAGATCAGGCAAAAAAATTTTGCTCGGAACCTCTGAAAATCTTCCTGCGATAGAACGTTATTGCAGTTTATGTTACATGTTAAGCTATAAAGTCAGCGTTTGTGGCATTAATTAAGAAGAATTCAGAAGTTCCAAGTAACGCTCTAAGTTTCGTTGCCGAATTGATAAATTCAACTTTACACGAAGTTCACGCAAAAACGTCTTCCATTTGTAAAATAGCTTTCTTCCTTTACATAATGGTTCCAAAAATTTGCTATATATCCCTTGTTATTCTTAGTCTGATAATGAAATTAACAAAAACGACCCCTTTCTCATTGTCCTATATGAACTCTTTCACTCTAAACAGCGTCTTAAGAGTCACACTTTATACTGATATCCAATTATACTCTTTACTTTGCAAAATACTGAGACGTTCAGAAGACGACCGGCTGAACTGAATCAGACGCCGAGCTTAATTCCAGCCGAACTAAATTCAAAAGGAGAAAAATATTCATTTCGGTCGAACTGCTTGCAAAATACGTTATAACAATTTATGCATTAGGTTCGGCACATGAAAAGTTCGTCGTCTTATTCAAAGCCGTTCCAAAGTCGATCCAAAGGTAAATTCACGACCCGGCTAGGCAGGAAGAACGGCTTAGCTGTTCCAAATTGAAAGTGTTCCTAATTGACCTAATTAGATGTATTAGGTTCGGCTCATAAAAAGTTCGGCGTCTGAAATGGGCCGGCTAATGTACTAAAGCTTGTAAATTTTTTCTATTTATTTGGTGACCACATAGGATTTACTCCTTAAACCCTAAGGTAAAAACTACATTTTTTTCTTAAGGCTTTGAAAGAGTTCGATAATTTAGTAGAGACCGCGTTAAACCTGCGTTATCGATTTATCGGCCGAGAAAAAAAAGCAATTCTTCAGTACATAGGTCCAAGTTTAAACTCACTGCTCAGTTAGAAACTGCCAGTTCACAAAGTAAAATATAGCATAAAAAATTAGGTAATGAAGAAATTGTCGAAGTAAAACCTTACAGAAGTAAAATCTGATTTTTTTTCAATGGTATTTGCTGGCCCGGAGCCTACGAAAGCGAGCTCGGCGAAAAGCAGTCTGTTTAAATGTGGGTCGTAATACATGATTATTATTGTTAATAATAGTTTCTCGTGCTGCATGTAGTGACGTAGGGTAGTAGCAAGGGTAGGGTATCATATTCAGGGAGGATGAGTGTTGATGTATATGAACACATCCTTGGCACTCTTTTCCTGGAAGCTGTAGGGACGAAAACAGAAGATACCTTTATTGTTTGATTTTTAAAGGACGATCCAAAGTTTATTTTGCTATTGCTACAGAGTATTTTGTCGTGTGTTTCAGAACATATAGCGGCCTTAATTTATCATAGAGGCAAGTGCGAGCGATCAATGGCAAAATCCAGTTTTGAATATCCCAAGGTTGTCTTAGTCTAGAAGTGCATTTTTTTTCCTTCTTTTGCAGTCCACAGCTTTGATAAGTAAAGCAGGGAAAGCTTATGACTGAACTTCTAGTTTAACGCGGGACACATTATCAAAGATTAGCTTTCCCTCACGTGACCCCTCTCGTTGCAGATTTTAGGTCTTTGCGTTTTCCCTTTCGAAACTGACTCGTTCCCAGCCGCCTCTCTTGGCCCTCTTGGTCAATGAACGGTCGCAGGAGACAGACTATTACGGCATCCAGGGAAAGGATCTTCCACGCGCCTCCGTCGTTGTTGTAAGAGGAGAAAGTCGACTGGGGAGCAGTCAGGTATTGAAGAAGAACAAAGATCATTGCTCTGATACTCACCATTTTAACGTCGCCACGGCCAATTGCTGAGCTTCGGAGTTCCTTCATCAGAGAAATTTTCTCAAGAACATCATTTTTATCATCATCATCATCAGAATTTTCCGCCTCATTGTCATTATCATCATCGTCGTTAACATCGTCATCATCATCGTCGTCTTCATCACCATCATAATCATCGTCATCGTCGTCATCATTGTCAGAATAATCGTCGTCATCATCATCATCGTCAGCAACGTCATTTTCGTTATCAGCATCATCATCATTGTCAAAGTGATCGTTGTCGCCATCATCACTTCAGTGACGTCATCTTCGTTTTCGCCATCATCACCATCGTTGTCATCATCGTCAGCTCATCGTCATCATCATCATCGTCGTCGCCGTCGTCAGCGTCAGCATCGTCGTCGGCATTACCATCAGCATCATAATCATTGTCATCATCATCATCATCATTGTCAGCATAATCGTCAACATCATGGCCGGCATCATCGTCATTATCACTATCATCATGATCATCATCCATGCAACAGGTGTCAGTCGTCTTCATCTAGCCT